CTTTACGTCCCTCGAAGCATATCACAAACATAAGAAAAATTATAAAATGTACAGGGAAAATAAGAAACCTAAGACTAGGTCACCGGGGGAGGGCTGATCACGTCACCGCCGATGTCTCCACCAACATCCCCAAACAGCTCTTCAATGTTGGGGGATGAGTCAGCAGTAGGGGTGTCAGTTTGAGGAGCCAGAGCAAGAGTCGCTCCTGGTTTTGGAGGTGGAAGAGAGTTCTCGGCGAGAATAGCAGTAGTTGGGGCCAAGGCTACAGCATGAGAGGGCTCTGCCGGGTTTGGCCCTTGGGCATCTGCAACATCTTCAGTTGCGACTTTTGTTGCAGCCTGTGCCATCGCCTTGGAGGGAATACACTCGTGCTCCAGAAACAGGGGGAGTCGACGGGGACGTTTGCAGCCTTGAGAGTCTCGTCCTAACCTTTCTTAAAAAAATCCCTCTTATTAGCTCCAAGAGCGACCAGGATGTCATCGGCGCAGCGATCAACAATCTCTTGCTCTGTCTTCTTATCAGCCTCCATCTGCGCCCTGACCCTGTCTAGCTCCTGGGTAAAGGTTGAGAAGGTCTGCTCCAACTCCTCAACCTTTGCCTCCGCCGTAGACAACCATTTTGTCGCCTTAATGATCTTCCTCTAAACGTCAGCGAGGGCCGCACTTAGCTTTTCAACGTTGACCCTCACAGTCTCATCGTCCTTTAGAAGTTGGGCGATTTGGGCTGCCTGGAAAGATAGAGTAACGTCCTTGGCAACCACGTCCTCCCTCGTGGCGGCAAGAGCTTCCTCAGCTTCAGTCTTCAGTTTCTCAGATTGCTGAAGTCTCTTCTTTTGTGAGTGGTAGTACTCGACAATAACCGAGATTTGTTGAGGAATCTGTTAGGAAAGAAGAAAAGTCACTCCGATTCAAAGAAGATAGAAAAATAAGGAGAATTGTTACACAAACTTACTACCAGGGAGCTCTGGATGATTGAGCGGAAGAGCTGATTAGTTGGCCTCTCCCATTGTGCCCCCATATCAACTCCAAATTGGAGTGTCTCACTCACGACATAGGCCACGTGAGGATTATGTATGATGGAGTCATTAACCCAGATCGACCTGTTATTTCGATCTCGGGCCTGGGGGTGCCACTCCTCTGCAGTAGACGTCAGTGCAGGAGGAAGAGAAGGTGTTTGTTGTTGTTGTTGTTACAGTTGCTGTTGCTGTGGTTGAGGGGCCTTGCCTTGACCCAATCCATCATGCGTGTGTATGACTTTCCTCTCCTCCTCGAGTTGAGGGTCCCTATCACGGACTAGACCTCGCCCAGAAGATCTCGGTGGCACAAGAGTAGGAAGAGGAACATTGATGTTGGTTCTTGGAGGAGGTGGAAAGGCATTGCTAGAAGTTCCCCTGCCCCTCCCGATAACCAAAGCCTCCCTTTGATTCAAGAAGTTGAGGTCAATGCGAGGTCGACGAGACATTGCCAACGCAAGTGTGTCCTCCTCGTCCAAGTTCTAAAGAACATTAAATTCAGGCCAAGCCTCACTTTTGGATGTACTAGCCGTGGCATGGACTGTGGTAGAGGAGTCCCTAACTCTGGCCGCTTCTTCTTCGACTCCTTCGGCAACCCCTTCTACCTCGGTCTCAGTGGCCCAGTTTGGGTCCTCCTCTAAGTTCTGATGGAAGAGTTTTAACTACCTTGAGGGGTCAACGGGTTAGGGTGTTTGAGAGTACTTCTTGTACCTTGGAGTGTAGTCTAAAAAGATGTGGGTTGCTCGGCCAAAATCGTCGCTGATGTACCCCCAGACGGTGATGAGGTTGTCGAAATTGACTAAGTGCCAGGGTGGAGGAGCAGTTTCGCGGTTAGAAATGTCTGCACAAAAGAGGAAGATCATTAGTATTGGTGCAAATTAAATTCAAAAAGCTAAAAAAGTCGAGAAGAGAGGGAGAAGCCGACATATTTGTCGTTCGCCGCTCCTTGGGGCAACTTAAGCCAGCATACTCGGGGCCAACCCCCCTTTCCCAGGCGCCGCTAAAGATCAATAAGTCATCTTTATGTCCTTTGTCAGAGTCAGGAAAGTGGGAGACAAGGTACATGGAAGTGTCCCGGGCATTGAGGTAGAAGTTTTGCTGGGGCATCATCCTCAGTAGGGAGTAATAGAAGAGAATATCGTTGACACTAAGGTTTACCCTGAGGTGTCTGTTAAGCTCAACCACCCCCATTACTATCCTAAGAACATTAAGGCAACACTGTCCTGGGAAAAGGTGGAACCTAGACAAAAACTGGAGGAGAAGTGGATGGAAAGAGAATTTGATCCCACCCTCCATAATTGCCCTAGTGTAAAAAGACATGGAATCCTCGGTGCCGACGTTGGAACGATGACGTCCCGGATTGAACTCATCCACGAGGGATGTCATAAAGAGTTGTGAAATTGGTAATTTGTTGGGCACCCTTGACGGTGTATTTCCTCGGCCTAGAGGTTCCAGCCTCTTGGACCTCGGCGACAGGGTGATGACTCCTCGACATCTTGTACAAAAGAAGGGAAGGGTTCCAAGGGGTATTCTCTAAAATGGGAATTCTAAGGGGCACTATAAGACACAAAAAGGGCAAGGGAATGCGATGGAGGCCTGGAAGGTAACCAGTCACCAAAAAAAGCGAAAGAAAGTGAGAAAAGAGAGAAAAAAGGAACAAAGACTCACCGAAAAAAGACTGAAGAGGTGAACTGGAGGCTTAAGAGGGCTTTTCTCCTTCGACGGTGACAAGAAATGACGATAGATTCTTCAAGTAGCAAAAGACTCCGATGAGTTCTCCGCGCGAGGGTATCTAAAATGGCCAAAGGTTCGAAAATGAAGAAAGGAAGACGAGGCTCTGTTTATATAGGGCCTATCCCCATCATTGTGCACGAGACACAAGGACAGACGCATTCAATGCGTACAATCTCCAAAAGGCGGGATTGCAACTAGGCAATGATGAGGTTGGTAATCCCTTCCATCTTTTGTTGACACGTCTTCCTTCCGAACGAAGATCAAAGGGCTGGAGGTAGTTGATGGGACACTTCTGAGGAGGGATTGGATCACTGACACGTGTCCTCGGCACCGATGGCACATATTTTATTCTGATGAAAACAGGTGTCGTCGGCACTGAGGGCGCATCTTTTTTTCTGATGAAGACACATGTCCTCAGCTCTAAAGTCACCCCTTTGCTCTGCCACGGACATGTGCACTCGACGCCGAGGTACCCCTTGTTCTATGACAGACGTGTGTGTCCTCGGCTCCGAGGGTACCTCCACTTTGAGGTAGCCACATGTCCTCGGCTCCAACGGCACCTACTGGAACTTTGGTCTTGCCACATGTTCTCAGCTTCTGAAGAGACTACTGTTTGGCATCTGGTCAATTTTAGAACTAGACTAGGGATCATGAGGGTACTCTCCCCAATGAAGTCAGAATGATAGAATGAACAAGATACTCAACCAAGGGGAGTTAGACGCATGTCATAAAAAACAGGATAAGGAGTAAATGGACAGAAATACTCATGCTAACATGCGGTTATCTCAGGCAAGCATTTAATAAACTTTCAATTGATGGGACAACCATGATAACTCTGGAAGCCTAGAAGAATGACCATTAAATGCTCTAGGACCCGAGCATTTAATGTCTCTACATTAAAGAAAGAACATTAAATGCTCGGAGGACCGAACAATTAATAACGAGGTCTCCTCTATACAAAATAAGACAACATTTAATAAACTCTCAATTGATGGGAAAACCATGATGACTCTAGAAGCTTAGAAGAAAGAGCATTAAATGCTCTATCCCAGGCAATCATTTAATAAACTCTCAGTTGATGGGACAACCATGATGACTTTAAAAGCTTAGAAGAAGGAGTATTAAATAGTTTAGGATCCAAACATTTAATGCCTCTACATTAAAGAAAGAGCATTAAATGCTCAGGGGACCGAACAATTAATAACATGGTCTCCCCTATGCAAAATAGGGGCATACTGCCTCATGTCTGGGTACTACCTACTACCTAAACAATCAGTAATGATGGATTTTTGGAGGTATAAATAGTCCCCAAAAATATAGTGCAAAAGTACGTAAAATTATTCCTCAAGAACACAATACAATACTTTCTTCTTCCCCTCTCTTAAAAAATTGATTTGATCATCGGAGATGATATGTTGGAAAACACTCCAACGCCCTTATAGCCTATTTTCTGTGTGCCAGGAACTGCCCGTGAGCCATCGGAATCGATTGAGCAGCCCATGAAGTAATTTATCACCACTCCTTAGACTTCCGTTGGGCCATCTTGGTTCTTCTTTTGCCATGGGATCATCGACTTTCTCAACGAACACGAGTTGACCAAGGAAGAAATCTGTCTATTTATCTATTGTGCGAAATTCATTGCGCACAGTATCCTTGTGATATGATTTTACACATGAGTTCTTAATCAATAATTTAAAAAACTTAGTAAAATATTTTGATAATTAAATAACAAAGAGAGCGAAAAGTTCGAGTGAACTATTCTGCTCCTACTGATTAGTCAATGGTTTAATTAACTTGCAATCATTTTTGTATACCGAACAAGTGTAAAAAAAAAAAAGGTATAATATGATGTACTTAAAAGAAGAATGACGGCACATGACACGAGTCTTAGTTATTGCAATGTCTAGTGATAATTAAATATACATAGACTTATTTTTGGGATTAAAACTTCGGATTTTAATACAAGTGTGAATACATTGCCATTACTTGATCTGAATTCAATTTATGTATAAATTTGATTAATTGTTAATAAATTAATCTTTTTTTACTAATAATCTAAACTTGAATTCCAATGGTTTCTATAAGATTTAGCTTTAAATCAAAGCACGTGCTGATTGTCGAAGAAGATCTAAAACGTAGCCTCTGCACGTGCGGGGATCCTTCGAAATTGGCGGGGTTCGTACCAGCTTTTCCCCCGTTAGTTGGGGACGTCTCGCTGTAGACCTGTTCATTCAAAGCTTACCCACTATTCCTCCCCATTTCATGCATGTCTCTCTCTCTATCTCTCGCACTATACACAAACTTCAATTTCTCCGGCTTAACTCTTGTTGATCTGCTTTTCCGACATTAGCTAGTGTGGTTCGATCTCGCAATGGATGAAGTATACGACGTCGTAGTTCTGGGCACTGGCCTCAAGGAGTGCATTCTCAGTGGCCTCCTCTCTGTCGATGGCCTCAAAGTAAGCCTTACTGTACTATCTGTTATCCGTTTATATGTGTACATGCATTAATACAAACTCTACTTTACCCAATTGATGTTTTTTTTTCTCAGACTGCAATAAATTCTTACATTCTTCATCCGTTGGTATTCATGAATTTACTTTTCTGGTGATACTATAATTTGTAACGATGTACTTCAGAATAGCTCTACCTAGTGGTCTGATGAATGTGGTGTAAAAGTAAAATCCCCTTCCATGTGTAAGAATATATATGTTTACACCTATCTCAGACTCATATTTTGGGGAATTCTGAGTTTGATGGGTAACTTTATTTTACCTTTAATGCGTTCTAGATCTTAGGCAGTTAGTTTAGATCTTGATCCGTCAATTGGTAGTTGTCCCCAATTCTCCCCTGCTTGGACATTTTTGTTGAATTTATTCTCAACCATCAGATAGATAATTTTCTCCATCCAAATGTCAGCCAAGCCCGCATGAGATGTCTAATTGTATACTATTTCTTCTTGTCCCACCTAAAAACCCTTGCCCAATTGCACGCTGTTAAGTGTGGGCTATTTCAGAACTCGTGAAAAAGGAGATTGCTTGTTCTGAGATGGTTAACTCATCTCCCAAACCTTTTGGCAAGGGCATGTTTTTCTGGAAATTTCACGGCTCTCAGAAAAAAATGTGCTGTTTTTCACTCTGACAGTGTGTCTTCCCCCCCCCTCCCCCACGCGACTGGGAAGGATAGAAAGGTCTTGGTTTAGGTTCTCATGTTCTATATGGTAAAACATACCATGTGATGGGTTAAGCCCAAATAGTCCAATTTATGTGTTAAAGTCCAACCCCAGTTGAGGAGCCCAACCTCATTGTGATTCTACCAAGCCCAAGACAGTCTAAGACCGGTTAGACTTCTTGCTTAGCACGTCATCAAGAGGAGAGCACGGGAAGCTTAGTCCAAGGTCGGTTAGACTTCTTGCTTAGCACGTCACCAAGAGGAGAGCACGGGAAGCTTATCTGTACCACAGAAGGAAACGGTCCAATCTTTGACCACGTTTCATGAAGAGCTCCCCAACCTCCTCTTTCCGTTGAGGATAAGTCGTGATCTCCACCAAGAATAATCTCTTAGCTGCGATAAAGAAGCCTTGAGGATATGTCATGATCTCCAAAAGAATGATCTCTTAGCTGATATAAAATAGCTCCAACCTGGTAGAGAGAAGGACACATGCTCCATCAGAGACTTACAGAAGACGAACCGACTACCAGATATTATTATTTTCTTTGATTCTCCATTCTCCCTCTCAAAGCTTGTATCTCCATTCTCCATACCTTTGAATCAATAAAATACCCGGCGACTGAAGTCATTGAAGAGTGGACGTAGGTCGAATTGACCGAACCACTATAAATTGTGTCTTCTCTAATTTTTTCGTTGATTTCATTGCATTTATTATCTATACTTGACAGGTGGTGTGCAAAACCATTTTTGTGTATCATCACCATGCACTACCTTTAATTGGACTATAATATTCATCTTGGTTAACACTCTTGGTTTAAAAATCCTTTCGACTTGTAAATTTAAATATTCCCATCAAACTAAAAGCAAACACAATGTGTTATTTGCTTGAAATATTTTGAGGTTCAAGCATTATCTTTCTATTTAATGTAGATTTTGTTTACAATTTTGTGGTTTTATGTATTGCCGACTAATCTAAATGGCGATTTACTCAACCACATGCAACAGGTATTGCACATGGATAGAAATGATTACTATGGAGGAGAGTCAACTTCCCTGAATCTAAACCAGGTCAATATTATATGTTACATCAGTCTATTGTTTGTTATAGATGCCATTCAATTGTTGACATGGCATTGAGAGGTCTATGCTTGTGGTTTATAGCTTTGGAAGCGATTCAGGGGCAGTGACACACCTCCAGCACAGTTGGGTTCAAACAGAGATTACAATGTTGACATGATTCCTAAGGTATGCAGAATTTCCTAAATAATTCTTGTATGAAAACAATTTGCATATTTGATTTACTTTCATATGTTCTTTTTTAAGCTGTACATGAACCAACCTAGCTTCAGTCTTTGATGAGTTCGACCATTTTTGGTGTCGTAAACATGGGTTATTTTTTATCTTCTTTATTTTCCCCGTCCGGCTAGTCTATGGTTAGATGTTTGATGTCAATAAGTATACAATACAATATCAAGGGTACATATTCTGTTGCTCAAGTGACCCAAAATGTTAATTGAGCTTGTATCCCCCATGGAATAATTATGACCATCAAAGTTGGTTTATATACTTGAAGGATTACTCCACCCCCGAATTGGTTCTTGATTAGATGCTCTAACCTAGTATCAGAGCTAGGCATTGGGAGGTCATGGGCCAAGTCTCTTACCTATTTGAATTTTCCAGTATGCATGGTTGGTTGGTTGTTGACCCCAGGTACAAGTCCGGATCCCTCATGAGGGAGGGTGTTAAGAGAGTTTGTATTCCACATTGAATAATTAAGCCACCACGATTAGTTTATATACTTGAAGGGCCACCTCACCTATTGCCAATTAGTTTGGGTTGGATTCTCTAACACAATAGTTCAACTTGACCTTGGTGAGGTAAGTGAATCCGACAGTAAATTGACCAAGCCGTAGCTAATGTGGCCAATCATTTCTTAATGTCCATAAGTACATCTTGTGAAACATCCAAGTTCACATTTTACTAACCTTTTTTTAGGTGCCTAAATGAACCGTCTCTGTCTCGGCTTATTCTGCAGTGAACTTTTTATGAGATGGGGGGCTATATGGAAGTGGACTAAAAAATTAACCTAAAATGAAAATATACAATACAAGCAGCATCTAACACCTTAGAAAGTTTATGTTTCAATCTTTTCTTATTTAGAAAGGGATTCTTGTCAATTAACTGGTATGCTAGAAGCCTAGAACAATAGGAACCAACATATTATGTGTACTTTACCTAAGTCCAGATTTTTTTTTCTCCTGTTGATGAAGGGCATATGTAGATTGTAGACCTTAACTATTGATTTATAACAGGATACAGATAAAAGCTGAAGTTGAACATATAATCTTATCCAAATCCACGACAAACATGTTATAAATTCAAAATCTGAAAAGGGCTTTTGGGTTGAGAAGCTCAAAAAACAAGACTGATTTCAGAGAATCCTAGTATGAGCTGAAGTTTATCATTCGCCACAACAATCTTTACTACTTAATACTGTGTTACAAGCATAACCTTATATCATTTCATGCTCGTGCTGTGGAGACTTTATACAAGTCATGTTCCTTTGTTAGGACTTTATCTATTCTAATGGTAATTTTATTTTTCCCTCTTATTCCAATGGTAATTATCACTATTCCCTTGTTTCAACAGTTCATGATGGCTAATGGTGGCCTGGTTCGTACTCTTATCCACACGGATGTTACAAAGTATCTGAATTTCAAAGCTGTTGATGGCAGTTTTGTGTACAACAAAGGGAGGGTGTGGTGCCTATTATTATTTTTTCATTGAGAATTCAGTCTTAACCTTTTGATAACGTGACTTTTAAATTCTTACTAATTCATCCCTGAGAACAATGAATTGGCCTGTTTTCAGATTCACAAAGTACCAGCCACTGATGTGGAAGCACTTAAATCTCCACTAATGGGACTGTTTGAGAAGCGTCGTGCTCGAAAATTCTTCATTTATGTGCAGGACTATGAAGAGAGTGATCCAAAGTCGCATGAAGGGCTGGACCTCAACAAAGTTACAGGAAGAGATCTTATTTCGTATTTTCTCATCTTCATCTTCTTAGTCCTTTGCCTTATGTTGACTTCTAAGTATGCGGTGTATCTACAAGTATGCATAAGTTTATATATTTTTCATGAAAAAATGACTTTTTATATTGATTAATATGGTTGAGATCATCATGGAATAGGTGATTTGGGGTTCAGAGTCTTCAGATCCTATAGGTTAAGCAAGATCCCCTTTAGTTTATGTTCACCTATATGATATGCATCATGATGAATCTGAAAGGTCTGCTGATAAATATTTTGACGCACGGCAATGAGGGAAGATCTACTGATAAATAGCAGCAAACTCTGGTTTAGGACTCAAAGGCTAATTGAAGGTTGTCATCAAGACTGGGAAGCCATGTAATATATTAGTGAAATTCAGATCACCGCACATTTTTGTCAAATAGGTTCAACTTAAGACTCAAACTCCAAACATACACCTCAAGCTTTCGACAGATTGAGACAGTATTTAGCCATGACTTGTAAACACGGAAACAATTGCTTACAATGTCCAGATGCCTGATGGAGGCTAATAACCTCAGAGATAGCATTTAAAGAACTTGAGAGAAAGGGATAAAGAAAGAAGGGGGGGCGGGGGGGGACAAACCGAGAATCTAATTGGATACTAATCCACTGCTGAATATAGTGGTTTGGTCGATTGGCTCAACCATTTAGTCAAGTTGAGTTGAGCTCTATGGTGGACCTGAGTAAGTCTCTATGGTTCAAACAACTTCTCCATTTATTTCCATGCCACCGTATTTGAAAATACAAAATAGAGATTGTTCTTTATACATTTAGGTATTATATGTTGTATAGAGGTGTATCCCTTGCTTCCCCTTAGTGTAGGTGCTTGAAAAAGCAAAAAATTGTGCCAAGAACCAGTTATCTAACAGCCAGCAAGGGGAGCGGCTCTTGTTCTTCGCAGATCACCACCTGGTTCCTCTAAGAATTTGAATATGCAGCTTACTATAAGTTGCATTTTTTTGCATTTAATCAGAAACTATAGTCTTAACACTTGCACATACCAGCTTGTAAGTGCCCAAAATGCTTTCAAATGGAACTGGATAGAACTTGCTCAGAAAACTAAAGCATTTAGTAAAACGTAAATAAGTTTTGTCAGGAAACTAATTTTCTGAAAATTAGGAGAATTAATCCTGCCCTATGATATGTTAACATTGTCATCAGTGCTACTGCCCTCCACTCTATGTAAAATTCATGATGAACACACGAGAAGTCCCAAGTTTGGAATGTTCGAAGTGGCATGCCCATTTCCGTTGACGTAAAATAATGGTCCAATTAGTTCATATACAGTAGCGGAAAAACAATCAGTATTTTGAATCTTACCATAATACTACTAACAGTTCTTTCCAATAAAAAATGAAGAGGATGCATTTCTTGAGACAGTTGCAACGATACATAAATGCTTCTAAGTAATCCACCACCCTGAAGTTTCTACAGCAAGATGAATTTGGTTTTAAAAGCATTTTTTTATCTCCATTGTTGAGGTTTGTTAATACTTTCTCATGCTGTTTGACAGAGTCAGAAATTTGTTTCTGATATAGGAAGTATGGCCTAGATGACAATACTGTTGATTTTATTGGGCATGCATTGGCACTCCATAGAGATGATAGTTACTTGGACCAGCCTGCCATGGATTTTGTAAAGAGAGTTAAGGTGCGACTTCCGGAATGTGCTAAGTATTTGTCTTTTTTCGTTCAGGTTGCACATTTAAGATATTAACGTACTTTTTAGTTTTTAACATTTCTTCACTGAATTGATCCGATCCATCACTTCTGTTTTCAAAATTTTTGATTCATATGTCCATCACTTGTTTGGTGCATCTAATGCATGCAGCTTTTGAACTACTACACCATTTTATGGATAAACCATATCCTAATGAGTTTTCTTCTCAATTGGTTAAATAATATAGGTAGTCACTGATGCATTAATTGATTACAGTCGTGGTTTTTAAGGAGTGCTTACTGACAATTAAGCATGTTCACTTTTCCATTTATTATCTTCTCTTCCTCAGTAATAAAAAGCTTTAATACTATCCCCCCTGCGACCTCTTACCATTCTCACCTGACTTTGTGTACAGTGATGTGATTCTTAGTTTTGCAATCAGCTAATTCGTTTTGACTTTTGTTTACAAAAGCTATATGCAGAGTCTTTAGCTCGCTTTCAAGGAGGATCTCCTTACATTTATCCCATGTATGGACTTGGAGAACTGCCTCAGGTATGTATTACTGCAAGTCTTTGACTACAAAATTGTCCCAGGAAAATTCTTCATGAATCTCTAAGTTTGTGTGAGACATACTTGGCAGGCATTTGCTCGTCTCAGTGCTGTTTATGGTGGCACCTACATGCTCAGCAAGCCAGAATGCAAGGTAACATATTTACTGATGGCTACAGGGCATTAAAGACATTGCACAGTATGGTAAATAAAGTCGGTGTGTGGTGTATCTGAGCATATACATAAGTTGAAAGGCTGAAAAGTAGCACTAAGGAAGTTATTCAGGCAGAAGAATTTTGTAATTATGATTTTGCTCGTTATTTTCTGTGTAAATTTGATGAATTCATAATTGTCTGCCATGCAATCGTGCTTGCAATTACTCAAAACTCAAAAGATTGATATGGTTGTCTTTATATTGGATTGATCATCTGTATGGAATGGAAGAAGAAGAGGGTGTTGACCATAGGATGAAATGTGATAACTGGAAAGGATGAGTGCCTCTGGTGCTGTGCCCTGTAAATACCTAACAAATGAATGGGTAAATCTTGACAAAGGGTTATAACATGAGTATGCTAAATGGGAGAACACTGGGCAGTGCAGATTCTAGAACCCTATTTACATAATAAGCATATTTGCTGGATAGATACGTGGGTGACAGAATACAACAGAATACAAAAGGAATAACTGAGAAAGAACTGCATCTAAGAGAAGTGGGACATGGTGCCAATTGAGGACAAGATGAGGAAGAATTTAATAAAATGGTTTGGTCATGTTTAACATAGACGAATGACACAAATACAGTGAACTTTATTTTCTGCGTTTGGATTTTGTTTATCAGCTGGTGGTAAAGATGGAAGACTGATTTTATTCAGGAAGGCCAATAAGAATGCATGTTTTTTTTTTTGATCCAAATAAGAATGCATGTTGAGGCAGTGAGAAACACATGATAGCTGTGATGGAAGAAATGGCCCTGAGTAGACTTGCACGGACTAGGAAGCCTTTCTACTGTTTTCTAGTTAATCGACGGATTACGAAGATTGGCTAATATGAAACTATACATGTTGCCCTTTTTTTTTTTTTTTTTTTCTAAAATAAATTGAGATTAAAGAGAAAAATGAGTACAAAAAATACGATTAAGCATCGAGGCTTAATGCATGCCCGGAGGCCATACAAGGAAATTCTTAACCTAGTCTAAAAACTAAAAGTAGCTCATAGAATTTAAGTAGACTAGGATAAAAATAAAATCGAATGTCACCAAGCTAGGCAAACAATATATCAATCTACTCACACCACCCTCTTCCCCTAGTGTCATTTACGCCATCTAATGACAATCCGTCCTGAACCCTTTCGTCCCAAGAATGATTTACAAAATTTTGATCCATATCCTTGAAACATCTTGGTTAATGCAAGTTTTGCCGAAGCCAATTCCATGCAACATTCATCCATTGAATCCTCAGATTCATTTGAGACTAAGCCGTGCACATCATCATCTTTATCAGATTCGTCCCCCTTGCTTTCCATTTCTTTATCATGTTCCATCTCAACCTTCTTGATGTCTTTCTCAGCAATGGATTGAAGTTGGTTAGGTAGATTCACTGAAGGTTCATAATTGTCTTCCTCTTGCAGCACTTTGAATTGATTCTAAAGTGGAAGTTCTACGGTAAGGGATGAGGACTTCTCTTTTGGCCTAGCAATTTCTTTCACTAACGTAGAATAACATACTTGTTGCTTGTCTATGCCTTCTAGACTTGTGGTAGTGTCATGATCCTTGAGATAGAGCTGATTTTGTTTTGTAGAACCTGCTGAATGTAAAATACCTTCAGCCTTTTTCCTCCAACTTGTTTTTCCCGTAGGAGTGAAGTTGTTACGTGATTGCTTAGAGTTATAATTAGTCATAAATTTTTCCTTGTTGATCACACTTCTTGGTTTCTTGTGTTGGACTAGAAGCCACGAACCAAATGTTTCTTCCTCTTTGTTTTGGAGTTTGTGAATCTACTCCTGCTGCCTTTGTGCTGCTTGTTCTTGTTAGGAATCCATGACAGTAGCTGGTGATGTGTTGCAAGCTTCAGTGTCATGACCAGGAAAGCCACAACTGAAGCATATCTTCTTAAGCCCCTCATAAATGACCAATTGTTTGTGCTTACCAATGTAGCACACAATCTTACATGTATATAAGGTTGTATGCTAGACATGTTGCTCTGCCCATCACTTCTTACTGTTGTTGAGCTGTGATGTATGGTGTTGCGAATGACAGGTAGAATTTGATACAGATGGAAAGGCCTTTGGTGTGACATCAGAAGGAGAAACAGCAAAATGCAAGAAAGTAGTGTGTGATCCATCATATTTGCCCGACAAGGTAAATTCCAAGAAACCTATAATCCATAGCTTGGTCATGTTAGCATTTTGTGGTTTGAATTACCACCTTCTTTCTATTGCAACAGGTAAAGAAGGTCGGCAAAGTAGCTCGTGCTATATGTATAATGAGTCATCCCATCCCTAACACCAATGATGCTCACTCAGTCCAGGTTATTCTGCCTCAGAAACAGCTTGGGCGTAAATCTGACATGTATGTATGCCAAACTTTGTATACATTTCTTCTTGTATGAAACTCAATTTGGCCCTTGCCTCTTGCTTTGTGTTTGCTTCAAATTATTTTGGTAAAAATCATAATTGGTCCTTGAACTTTTCCTTTAGTTTCAATTGTCTCAATTTAGTTCCTTAACTATTAATTTCGTCTTAATTAAGTCATTCCATCGATTTCCATCTTTAGATCAATTGGAGACTAGTCCAATCTGATCTATTTCAGCGTTGATCTAACGATGAAAATAGATGGAAAGATTTAATTGAGACAAAATTGATAGTTGAGGGACTAAATTGAGACAATTAAAAGTCAGGGACTAAATTAAAATCAGAGGCAAAGATCAGGGACTAACTATAATTTTTACCTGAATCAAAATGTTGTCTAATGGGAAAAATATGAGGAAAGAATGTCCCTCCAAAAGGAACAACTTTTAGTTTTCCATTGGTTGACGACCACAATGATGCCAGGTTCCAGTCTAATGTTCCCAAGAAACTAAGGCAGAGAAACTTATAAGACTTCGTGATGTGAGCCTTTGGTTGTATAATCAATATTCTGTGATGAGAACAAATAGCAAATAAGAATTTCTGGTTCACGCGTGCATGAGGCCACTATTGGTAATTGCAAATAAGTTTCTTTGTCTTGTAAGCTCATCTATTCGGTAGAAAGGAAACGTATAGTGAAAACATACAGGACCTGATTCAGAAAATGATAGTTCATATAGAGAAAGCAGTCTTAATTGAAGCCAAGAGTTTACACAGTTAAGCATTGCGCTTAAACTGGACAAACTAAAGAAAAAGCTAACGTTTGCTAGCAATAAAGTCCAATTATGGTAAAATTTTCTAAAGATGTTCTTCCTCAATCTGTTGCAGGTATCTGTTTTGCTGCTCATATTCTCATAATGTAGCTCCAAAAGGTAAATATATTGCTTTTGTTACGACAGAGGCAGAGACTGATAACCCAGAAGTGGAATTGAAGCCTGGCATTGATCTCCTTGGACCCACAGACGAAATATTTTTTGATACATATGACAGATATGAGCCCACTAACCAGAATTCTGTTGACAATTGTTTCATATCAACTGTAAGTATATGTGGAAATATTAACAGTTCTATTTTCCAGGAGTTCTGAATTTAAAATTCGCTTTGCCTCTGGGCCTCAATATGCTCATACAGGAGTGACTTAGCCATATTAACTCTTTAGATAGCAAATGAATGTATTCCCCACTTTCTTGACATATCTTCCTTTTATTGGCTTGACCTGTCTCATAGTGATGCCGGCACCTAAATTTATAACTGATGTTTATCAATAAATGAAAGACAAGCATTAGATGGCCAGATTTGACATTTACTGAGGAGTTGATGAGCCTAATTTTGACTTGAAGCGAGAAAGCAATGAATTCTCTCATGACACAACATGGTTAGGAACTTCATTTCAACTGTCAAAAGAGTTAATTTAACAATGTTCTTGCTATTGCTTGAAGATTAGCATAGTATTCATTTAGCAGAAAGGCAGCAGTGTCAGTTTTTATTTCCTTTACGTTAGCCAGGCAGGCAAAATTCTGCTTTCTTTTTCCTTTTTATGTTAGGTCCCCCTGGGGCGGTTTCTAAGAGAATTACATCTTTTTTCTTTTGGGACTATGTCACTAACGAATTCCAAAATCCAAATTTCTTTCAGAGTTATGATGCAACAACACACTTTGAGTCCACAGTTAAAGATGTGATCTCCATGTACAGCCAGATAACCGGAAAGGTAAGTTTTTTCAGTTTGATCATTGTAGATATATGCTTCCACATTTAACTATATACTGTAAATTCTTGTAAGATCCAAGCAATTCGAAATTTAGTTCCTTTTTTTTGCATCTCAACGCTCCTACTGTTCTTCATTTACTTCTTTCCCATTCAGAATAACAAATATGCTAGAGTACAATTATACAACCTAGAAATCTTAAAGAGCAGATGATGATCTGAATGTGCTAGCAACATGTTATCAACCATTGTGGAAGATAAGCGATAACATAATATGTAGGTCTGCATGAAGTTAACAAGAGTAGGTCATTGCTCACTGTAAGTTTGATCAAGCTGCAGTTTCTTATTTTGATATTGCAAGCATTGTAGGAATGGTCTTCTTCCTGAAGAAATTGCCGAATGCCGTCCTTTGATAACCATAGTGATCAACGATGTAGGAATTTGGACAATGAAGGTTTTGATAGCAGTTATGTAAAAATAGTCTTGCAACTGAGTTGCACAAAAAAAGAGAATCTCAGGGGCACTTGGAAAGCATATGCATAGAATCCTTAGCACACAAAAGCACTTAGAATTTTAGTATGGAACTAAAAATGGATTCTTCTACAATAAAAGAAAGTGAAAATTAAAAATGAGTTTCTTTAGATGTATTTGTTTGGAGATAAGTCCTACAAGGAAACTTATAAGAGGTTAAGTCCATATTTAAAATTATATGTAATGAATTAAATCCACTTTTTTTTTTATCTCAAAAATACCTTTCCTTGAAAGGAAGTTAATCTTTTTCTCTCATATCTATCTATATCCATATATAGGTTAAGAGTTTGACTAACATTAAAATTTTTTCTATCTCTTATCTATATATATAGTAACATTAAAAAAAATAGTAACATTCAAATATAAAAAAAAAACTACTATGAATTTAAATAGTAAAATTCAAATTCATATTACTATTTTTTTTATTATGTTATTGTTCATGTTATTACTTTTGTTGAGTATGTTACTGTTCATGTACTATTATTTTTGAGCATGTTACTGTTTTTGTTGAGCATGTTATTACTATTATTTTCTTAAATATTAATATTCAATGTTACTATTTTTTTTTTGAATATTACTATTTTTTGTATTTGAATGGTACTATTTTTTGGGTTTGAATTTGAGAGAAATAATTATTATTAAGTTTGTTACAATTTTCGTTAAGGATGTTACTATTTTTGTTGAACATGTTATTGTTGTTAATTTTTAAAAATATTAATATTGAATGATTCAATTTTTTTATGTTTAAATGTTACTATTTTTTGTGTTTAAATGTATTATTTTTTGTGTCCAAATGATAAATTTTTTTTTTATATTTGAATGTCACTTTTTTATTTTTAATGTTATTTTATATATATAAGAGAAAATTTTAATGTTAGTCAAAGTCTTAACCTATATATAGATATGAGAGAGAAAAAATTTTAATGTTAGTCAAATTTTTAAGATTTAGAAGTTTTTAATTTTTAGTTTTATTTCACTTCTAAAGTGAAGGAATAGTATGATAAAATTGACAAAAAACGAACTTCATAACAAATAAGTTTCTTTGACAGACTTAAGTTCAAATAAGTCCATATAGAAGGACCGACCTCCAAATTTCCCTAAAAGAAAGAAATTGAGTTGTCAGCAATATTGATAATAAACCATTGGAGTTGCATCATTTCTTCAAATATGCACATCATTTCTACATATGCATCAGCATTGACTCATTAACCAAGTTGGATTCATCGAATTTTGATATCTAAAAAGTGCAGTTAATATTATATGTTTATTTTTTTTTTTCAGTACACATATTATATGTTTATGAGCCTTCCATTTGGGTCCGAAAGAAACTCTGAACAGTTAAAACGCAACTCTTAACAAGCTTTGCCCCAATTATTTAAGGTCGGCCATATAAATCACTTTCCATCGTTTGCTTTGTCTAGGACCGCATGTTCTATTCAACTCCAAGCTATCATATCATTTAGTCTACCTCTACCCTTCGCATTATTATCCATATGTATCACTGCACTTCCCCTTATTGATGCAGTTGTAGGTCTTCTTTGAACATGTCCAAATTATTTTATTCAATTGATAGTTCCAGAAACAAGAATCAAAACTAGTGGTTACATTAAGGCTATGTCCAGATTCTATGTTGATTCTACCGGAGCAGCCAGCTACTTCGTCGAAGGCTCATTATGTGACTACAATGTTTACTCCACATATATATCTATACATTCTCCGAGCATTCATCAGTCTGCTATAATCATTATGCAAACAGAAGTTAAGGGAAATTTTAAGTCCACAGAAAAATTTCATAACCCTAAGTAATAGGATTGACATGTTCCTATAGCTGCAAAGGGAAGATGTTTAGTCTGCAGTTATCTTTCTATAGAGAAGATTAGGCCTCTGTAGCCGTAGAAAGTGTCATGATATGCAAACTGTTTGTATAATGGACCCAGATGGTTTAGAGTCCAGTGACTATTCACCTCGGGCATAATGTTATTTACCTTAGCTAAGTATTACTCTACTTTGGAAGTTCCGAACAGTTCATAATGCATAATGCATAGACAATGCATGTTTCTTCCTCTTGCCCAGCTAAGGCTAAACTTAAAAGTACATTTTGAGTTAATGAGTCTTAGAATTGAGCTTCCTGTAACTTCTAACTATTTAATTGGATGTTGTGTGTTTCAGACTCTTGACCTAACAGTGGATCTAAGTGCTGCCAGTGCTGCTGCTGAAGAATGAATCTCTGAAGGCGTACAAGCTAAAGAGAACTGGGGAAAGGATTTTAACAATTAACACCCAAGTCATATTTCACAGAAAGGGATCTTTTTTTTAGACGTTGAATTCGAGTGGTCATCAAATAGATTCTGCTATTGATTTTCGGGAAAAAACTCAGTACCTTTCCATATGTAGTTCCCCAAGACATGCATTGTTTCGCAACATTACTTTTCTTTCTGCTTGTACTGAGAGTGAATTGGTTGAACTGATTAGTTTTTCTATAAGCATTTGATTAGTCAATAACAACAATTTTATAACAAAATAATGCGTTGAACATAGTGACATTTGTAGTTAGCTTTTGTTAAAACATATCAGAAAGGGGATTAGAAGGATACAGCACCCACCCCCAGAGCCAAGTCCCCCCCCCCCCCAACCAACCCCCCAAAACCAAAAAAAGAAAAAAAGAGAGAAACATGAACTTGCGCACACCAAAAAAGAGGGAAACAAGAGGGTGCTGTCAGTTGTTCTTTGATGTGCATTTGTGCTCTTTAACTCTTCCTTTAACCCCATCACAAACAGATGAGATAGCATGGGCAAGCCAACACTAAATGGTTTGATAGTAAATCAGAAAAAGGATGAACCTAGAACCAAGATTACTGGCACTTCATAAGCTCTCCTATTGCCTCCACCCCTAGGAAGAGACTGACGCCATCAACTACCTCCTTATTAGTCACGTTTACTATGAAAACTGATCTCCATCCTCACTTTTCTTTGCAGAGAGAATAAACATCTTCCATAGACTATACTTGATGATGAATTAGCACTTAGACAATCTACAAGACTGCTTGAGTGGACATTGTTGGTGCCAATGAAGAAATTCTAAACCTTCTCCATTGAGGTCAACTGAAATAGGGGAATATGGGGGTTCCAAAAGAACTTCCAAATTTTTGATTTGGTAAGAGCTTTCTTACTCCTGTACATTTTAGAATATTTCCTGGGTAAAATTTCCAGATATATTTTTCCGTTCGGTTTTGTCAACTGTCACACAACCACAAAATTGCTGGTGCTTGTAGTAAAACCTCTCCTCTTTTACTGTTTTATCTCCCCCCCCCCCCCCCAACAAAAAAAATTGGGGGGGGGGGGGTTATGAGAACCTTGTAAACTCAACAATTATCAATTTGCTTTATTTAACCATTTATAATGTGACAGACAATTTTATTCTTCTCATCTTTTGTCCCCAATAAGTAGTAAATATCCATTTCTTCCTCCATTTTTGAACACATTTGAGTGACAGTATTTAGATTTCTTCTGGAATCACCAAAAAAAAAAGACAAAAACAGATGTAATTAACATAAATAAATAGAATTGAAGAAATTACATTGCTACACCGACAAAATGCTGATAAACTGAGCTCCTGACACAAATTTGTGTCACCAGTCTACTCTCTTTTTGTTTTGGATAGTGCTTTCTTCCTCTGCCCAAGCATATAGCTGTACATGTGTGGGCTGCCTGTGATGAAGCAGATAAGTAAGAAACAGAGAACAGATGAGTGAGAGGTGGTATTCTGAACCAACTAAATGAGTGAAACATCATCAGCAAAAGCAAATGGAGCCATGCCTGGGACATAGATTCCAAGGGCAAGAATTGCAGCATAGGAGTAATCGAAAGAGAAATTCCATTTGTTGGGCATCCTTACACAATATTTTTCGGATTCCTGCAAATATGAGTGTTTTTAATTTGATGTGCATAAGCCAAAGAAATACTTTGATTATTTAAAGAAAAAAGAGAAGACAAAGTAGATGGAGAAGTAAACTGAGAAGACAAAGTACATAGAGAAGTATACACAAGCAAAATGTGAAGACAAAGTACATAGAGAAGTACGGACACAGATGATCATGAGTACTGGAGCAGTAGCAAATCATATTAGATAAGCATAAGCACCAAGTCAGTTAAGTGAAGTAGTTTTTCCTTTCCTGTAATACTTCACAGAAATACAGACTTCAACCGGTATTGCTGATTGACATAATAGCTCAGAAGGTGGCCAGATGTCAAATCATCTGATCAATAAATGTTTTCTGGGAGCAAATCAACCTATCTATCAAGAGGAGTGACAGAAAAATTGGACTCGGCAGATTCCACATATTTAGTTTGTCAAATAACATTAGGATGACAATAAACTTGTCCTCGGTGAAAACTCCAAGACCCAACCGATCTAGGAGAATCCGTCAAACCTTTGTAAACAAAATTTCTATAAATAGGTAAATGGGGGTGTACAGGGCATGAGTGAATGAATGAGTTTTTAACAATCCAAAAAACTCATGCATTCAAGAGTGACGAGAATATACGTCATTGCAGTAGAACTTTCTAACTTACAAATATATGATGCGAGACAAGAGTTTTCATTGAAAACAGTGCATATCCATAATCTCAAAACTTTCATAATCATTGTTATTTTTCATAAGCAACAAACTGTGCTTAAACATTCAGAGTCCACAAGGAAACTTTGCCTTCATACCATACATTATCCAGATAAATATATAATTTTAACAGAAAAAGTATGATATTCATACTTCATTTAGTTGGTTACCTTACAATAAGGCAAGGCAGCATATATCAAACCAACTTCACTTGTAATGCCAGTTGGGTACAACAACAAAAAGGTGCTATACCTGCAAACCATAATTCAAAATGTAATGAGAAAACCACCCCATATTCACACTCACCTTCATTCTGACAGGAATTACATGGTTTCTACCTGAGCCACAAGAGCCAGGAAGGTGCAGAGCCAAGTGCCTCCTTCGTGCCAAAGAAAGAATATCGAATGATCTAAATTACCATCAAGGGAATGATATCAATCAGTAAATTAGTTACATCTACCACTGCTATTTCTTGTCGGTGAAAACTGTATTTCAGGTAGAAACGGTTGTGGAATAGAGAAACGCATTAATGATTGAACCCACATAATAACACTGGTTCTTTAATATCGGGCCAGCATCTACAAAAAAATTTGTTTGCATATTGGGGTCCATAAATTCTGTTCTCTAAATGCCTTCTGATTTCATTGAAAATAATAAGCTACAACAGTACAAAGCTTAAGAAAAACTGGAAACCAATCATGCAAGACTCACTCACCTCAGTAATAGACCAGCTGATGACCAAAGAGCTAACAAGTATATGGGTCTGAGTCTACAATCAGAAAGCTTCATTTCATTAGTGAAACTGTCTTACTATGGAATGTGAAAATCAATAATTAACAAAATTTCTTCTTACCTCAGGGAAACTCCACAAGATGCCCCAAGTTAAATACAACCTTGAACCTATCTGTGGCAGTGTTGCTGTAATTGGCGATCTTACCAAACCTTTTTCAATTCCAAAAAAGAAAAAAAAATTGGAAAGTTTTTGGTTTTACACAATATTATACCCAATAAAACCATAGCTCAGCAATTTATAGAGTCCTTACCTACTAGCCCATGAAGAATCTGTTCCACAATTAAATTCAAAACAAAAAAGAAAAAAAAATGAAATTTAATATGTAGTCAACTAAAGTCAACTGGAAATTTGAAAAACTGAAGAATTAGTCTGTTAACTAAAGATTAATACGCTCAATTAAACCTTTGTGCAATAGGAAAATTTGGGTTTATTAGGAATTAGATGCTAAGGAGCAATTTCCACATCTAATTTCTGACCTTGAAGAGTATTAATTGAATTGTAAATTTAGTCTAATAGGGAAAAATAGCCAAATAAAGTACGCCCTGCAAGCACACTGATTCTGGATTAGGGTCAAACCTAAAACCTAAATCCTAATTATATATGGAAGCAATAATAAAGATCTGTACTACGTAGGAGATGGTACCTCCAAAACGGCGGCAGATTGAGCGTAAAGCAGAGGCTTTTGGACTGCATCGTAGACATGTTCGTGTCCCGAATCTTTGAGAGTCTTCAAAGCCAGATACAATACTTGAAACCTGAAATTATTTGACACATAAGTTTAGAAAACAAAAAAAGAAGAGACTCGGATCAGATCAAAAATGGTGAAATAAGGTGTGATTGGGCTTGCCATCCCAAAAAGACGCTCCAGTTGTAAACGGTGAGGTATATACGCTTTAGAACTGATAAGGCTCCCGCCATTGAAGATCCCAAGTGGAGGTGGTGGTGGTGGGGGGGGGGGGGGGGGGGGAGAGAGAGAGAGAGCGAGAGAGAGAGAGAGAGTTTGGGGATGACAAGAAGACAGTCTGAGGAACTGAAAAAGGAAATCAAAGCGATTTAGGTGAGCAGACCAACCACTCGCGATCTGTGACTATTGGCTACTGTGTTTCTCTCTATTTAATATTTATGCCTCTCTCTCGAAACCCCCGCCAAAAACACAACTGACTTGTGTGCGGGGCCATGTTAATATAAATAATAAACTAATCAGATTTTTGTTAAATACATATAAGGGTTAATTGCGGATGTGATTTTCAAAGTATTCTTTTTGTCTTATTTTTGTTCCCAACCTTCTAATTTGTCAAGTTGGTCCCTCATGCATTACATATGCACTTACCTAATCCCTGTTGTTGATGTCGTCCATAATTTTGATGGTTCATAGTCAAGTGTCATTCGCATGACCTAAGTGAAGGGTTTATATGACATTTACTTTCCTCTCATTCCTGGAGGGAAACATTCCTACTAACAGTTATGGGTTATATCCCTATGACCCATTATCTATTACAAAGCATAGAAGAAGAGAGGGAGAAAATGAGGGGAAGGGGAGGAAAGGGACCAATTGCGATTGAAATGGTAGCAACACCAAGCTACTGTAGACAAATAGGCAAAATGAGGATCTCATGAACCGATACTAACCCAGGAAGAAGGTTCATTGGATGTGAAATATATGGGGTAAAAAAGATGTTCTAGATTTTGTTACTGAGTTTTCGATTTTGAATGTATTTGACAAAATGTTGCATTTATAGGAGGCTAGAGGGTGTGGATTTTTTGTTTGGTATGATCAGCCAATGTGCGATAGAGCGAAACAAGTGATATCCAGATTATTGTGACCAAAGCAAAGGCAGGAGAACCAACAACGAAAGACAAAAGCTAGAGAAAAATTATTATGGGTTGCTATGTTATGTTCTTGGATATTTTTTATTTTCACTTGGGTGTGGCATTTATTACAAGTAGTAGTCCTTTTTTGTCTGTGTAGGGTGCCTTGTTTTTGTTGTGTAGTAGGGTGCCCTGTTTTTGTTGTGTAGGAGGTGCCCTGTTGTTTAATTTATTGTTTTCGGACTTTCAATGCCTTTTGTACTGAACATGACTAGGTTTTCCATGTCCCACTTTGTATTCCTTTAAGACTTGCCCCATGAAACTGCTGGGCACCGCTGTTTCAGAAGATCAATGTATTTGGCAGCTCATTGCAATTCCTCTCAAAAGCAAAGGATCAGATCACCTTTCCAGTTCACCGAAAGTCCCATGGGCCCAATTCTACACTAAAAGTGTGCACAGATCAAAAGAGAAATTCAATTATTCAAGAGAAGCGTCAACCTTCTAAGTTGAACATACAAATCAAAGCTTCCAAACCAACATGATGTTAAAATTCAAAGAAGCTCAATCCACAACACCTTTTGATGGAATTATTATGCTTTCTAGCCCTTACCACACGTCTTCTTTCTCCACAAATTCCAAGAAAACATTATAGTTACCAATCACCCACCAAACATTAACCAACCTTAACTCCATACAAAACAAAAGTCTCTCTATACAAAACAAAAGGTAATTATTAGAGCAAAACTCCATACAAAACAAAAGGTAATGCTGATTTTCATTAAGGTAACAACCTGTTAGCATTAAAAAAAAATGTCCATAATTACAAGTTAGTCTCTCAGTACAAACCCAAAATGAGAACAAGAAAGAGTACATAAAAGGTTATAAGCCAGATTTAAACTTTCATCACAAACCCAAAAGAGAGCAACACATTTACATTGCATATAAGCTTGGCTCCAAAAAAAAATAAAATAAAGAGAAGTTGCAGATCAAGTATGGGTGCTTGTTGATTTACTCCTCCTGAATGGTAATTTATCTCTTCGAGTACGAATTACGAAGATATTGCTAGTAGTTGATGGTGAACCAATGGTTGAACCTTGAAGCTATATAGAGAAAAAGGTAAGATATGAGCCAAAAAGTTCAATGAAATTGTTTACTACTTCAATGGATTGTTAGAAATTACTTAGCAGCACTTACCTGTTCAAAGCAAGAGCCTCCTTTCACAATAGCTTGACTCCCTCCACCTTGGCTAACATCATTTTGGCTACCTCCACCTTGGTTCACAGTAGCTTGGCTCAAAGCAGCTTGGCTTCTCTCAGCTTGGCTCCCTTCAGCTTGGTTTCCTTCTGGCAGTATAACAGTACAAGTCCTCATATTATGCCCATTTTTACCACATCTCCTACAATTAATTGATACATTTCCACATTTTCCCAACTTATGTGGTTGTTTTTTATTAATCAACTCATCTAGTTCCCTCCCCCGTAATTTTTTTAGCCTACCAAGTTGTCTCCTGATGAATGGAGGCCATGGGTCACTCCACTTTTAGGCCATATCTTATGTCCATTAATGGGGTTTATGATTGGTTCATAAGCCTGCATGAATGCCCCCTTCTTGTACTACCCAAGAACATAATCTTCTGGTTGTTATCCCCTATTTTGAATGCAAGCAATGGCATGTGGGCATGGGATCCTTGTCAAGTCCCATTTCCTACATGAGCAAGATGACTCCTTCAAATCAACTGTGTATTGTTTTCCATTCATACACCTTACCTCAAACTTCAACTCACCATGCCACTCAGCAATACAATCAAAGCTACCACCTTTCCATTTCTTTAATCTATTTTCAATCTTAGGGCATATATCACCATTATAATTCCTAACCCATTTTGTCCTCTTCAACATTCTTTGAGCTAAGTAGTATCTAATCCATTCTAGCATTTCTAAGATTGGTTTATCCCTTGTCTTTATAATTGCCCCATTAAAGCTCTTACATAGATTGTTTAACAAAATATCACACTTAGGTTCTTCTCTAAAGTGTGACCTACTCCAATACCTTGGTGGCTCATTGGCCAACCAATCAAATGCCTTCTCATCTTGGGGTACAACTTGGGTGGGCCAATTTGAATTCAATCCAAAAAAAATATGGCTTGAGTTAGAATTTTTAATACTTGAGTTAGGCCTGGACAAAAAAACTTTAACCTGAATTAAATTTGGGCAAGCTTCAGGTTGAGGCCTTGGATTGTCGGGTTCAACCCGAATATACATAAATATATAAATATATTTAACTAGAGTTAGTATTTATCTTCACACTTTAGAGTTCAGACTTTCACTTCATTTCAAGTCTTCATCCCTGCACCTCTATCACTCTCAAATCCCTCTCTCACTCGTCACTCTTCCCTCTCTCAGCCTCCCTCTCTCAATTGTCACTCGTCTGAGTCGCATCAAACTCTCAGACTCCCTCTCTCATTCCTTCTCCCTTCATCAGCGTCTCACCCTTCATCTCAGATCACTTGAAAAAAATTAGATTTGCACTTGAAAAAATAAAATCTACATTTCAAAAAATCAACCCGCCCAAGCCACCCGAGTTGCACCCCTATTCTCATCTTCTTGTTTCACCATTTGCATCTCATAGTCAAATTCTAAAATATGTGTTGCCCTAGCACATTTCCAAAATTTCTTCCTAATACTCAATCCCTTAAAAATGTTTAATGAAATTGTTTAGCATGTGCCTAGCACACATGCCTATGCTCAGATGCTGGTACTCTCTCAATCAATGCTGGAAGCAAACCCTACACAGAAAATTATTAAGAACATGTTAATATAAACTGATAAATAAATGTTAAAAACCATTGCTATTGATTTTGATTAAAACATACCTTCTGTCTGCCAATGATGAAGGTCCACTGCTCATGGTTTTGATCAGTTATGCCTAAGTCAGTGCATAGTACTGTTAAGAACCATGTCTATGATTCCTTCATCTCAATCTCAACAATACAGTAGGCAATGGGAAACATAGAATCACTGCCATCAATCCCAACAATAGTAAAAAATTGTCCACTATATGCCTCTTTCAGGTGCCAACCTTCTAATCCAATCACTTTCCTGCACCCTTGAAGAAATCCCCTCTTATATGCTGCAAGACATACATAAAGCCTTTGAAATATAAGTTCATCATTTTCCTCATCACCAGGTGCATCCAAGATAATTGTGGAACCAGGGTTAGTCCTCCTTAGTTCCTCACAGTAATCTCACAATCTACCATATTGTTCAATTTCATCACCATGTATCAACAACATTGCCCTTCTCTTTGCTCTGATTCCTTGATACATCAACATGAAAATCTCTCCTAACCCTCTTTTTAAAAGCCTTTGTAGGCCAACAAGGATTGGCCCTTAGTTCATCCATATACTTCAATGTTATCATATTTGAGGTGACATTTCTGTTATTATAAGTTTTTTCACATATATGCTTTCCAATAGGGATATCAATGGACCGAAGCGGGGGTGGAGGGTATAGTCTTCATCCCCGTACCCGCTTAAAAAATCTTTGTCCATCCCCGGTCCACCCCCGCTAACAGGTATAATTTTCATCCCCATCTCCGTTCGCAAGTAAATTTATAATCCTCATCCCCGTCCCCGCTTCCCCTGTACCCGCCCAAGCCCAAGCCCAAACATAAGCCTAAGCCCAAGACCAAGTTCAAGCCAATTCATGGATTGATATAAAGCCCATTATCCAATGCATTCACATTTCAATACCAAGATATTGTACAAAGCCTTTTAAAAGAAAACATTTTAGTCGCCAAAGTCTAAAACATTTCTTTATCCAAAAAATTAGAAAAAAACAAAGTAATTCAGATACCCAAATGCTCTATTTGCTTGCAAGAATTAGCCAAAGTAATATATTGACATTCAAGTTTTTCATAATCTAAGACCTACAAACCCCAAAAATCACCATCCATCTTTCAAAACAAAGAAATTTTTTATATTAATAATCAACCTTTCCTAATTTAAACATACCCACAAGTCAAAACAATCACAACACAAAAGAAATGAAGCAATCAACAGAGGGCATCTAAAACTCCAACAATAAAAGTTACAAGAACTTCAGAAGATCAATACACAACCACATGAAGTACCGAAAAAAATCAAGAAAAATCTTGAAAATGGGTCATGTTATACTGATATGATGATGTGAAATTACAAAGCAAATCTATGGAAGAAACACGTTGACCGTATGATGCTTATAAGAAGAATGAAACATGAAAAATTTTAAAGTGATTCAAATACATGTTCACAGGACAGAGATAAAAAGAGGATAAGAAGGGTTTGAAGTTTAAATTTAAACCTAGAAAGAACAACAGAAAAAAAAAATCAAATCTTAGTGGGGGGAGTACCTCAGAATCCACAAAAAATGAAAAAAAAAAAAAATGAGAACTTCCTTATGAGTCTTCGAAGATGAGACAGCGAGAGAGGCAAGAGTCTCTGAGATCGATCGACCGAGAGAAGGAGAGAGAGACGGCGCTGCTGATAGAGAAAGAGAAGTAAGTTAGAGGCCTTACAGGGTTTAACGGGTATACGGGTACGGGGCGGGGGCGGGGGTAAGGGTAAGTTCATCCCCGCTTTTATCCTCACACGAGTTTATACAGGTATCCCCGTATATGTCAACCGTCCAATACGTATAGTTCATCATCGGTCCAAACGGGGCAGGTTTGGACGAATACCCATTTTTTTCCGGTCCACTGTCATCCCTACTTACCAATGTATGTCTTTATTTGGTATGTTTTCTCACCATGCACTCTACAAGCATAAACCAGCCAACTATAGCTCCCTTCTCATTGTGCCCTCACCCTCCTCTTATCATTTTTTTACAAATTTCACATTTCTCTGATGTTTGATAGCATGTTGTCTAATGGCAGTTTTGATCCACTACAACAAAAATCATTTTTTGAGAAGTTTTTTTTAAAAATTGTCGCAAAAAGTGTACTATCCGCAATGATTGCATAATTTCGTTTCAATTTTTTTTTTTAGGCATTTTTTTGTGACGTTTTTAAAAAAACGTCATGAAAAGCTAATTCCCTCTCCAATTTTTTTTTGTGCGATAAAATGACGGGAATTGATATTTTCTTACAAATTTTTTTTTTGTCGCCTATTGTTTTAATTCGTCACAAAAATAAATAATATAAAATAAAAATAAAAATAAAGTCAAAATATTTAATTCGCGATGTTTATGTTTTTCGTTGTAGAATGTTAATTTTAGTTATTAAAGTAAAATAAAATATTAATATTAATTATCGACGTTTTTTATTATTTTGTTGGGAATAATTTTTTTTAGTGACATTTTTATAAATTCGTTGCAGAATATAAATTTATTTTGTATTAAATAAAATTATTATTTTGCGACGTTTTCATAATTTTAAATTAGAATTAAATATTAATTGCGACGTTTTTTGATTTTGTCTCAAAAATGGTACTATTCGAGACGATTTCATAAATTTGTTGCAATTTTCTTTTTTGGCAATTTTTTGCGCCGTTTTTGACAAAAACGTCGCGAAGAGCTGATTTACTCCAAAAATTTTTGACCCGAGAGAATGGGTGGAATTGATATTTTAATTTTTTGCGACAAAATATTTTTGTCACTGATTGTTTTAATTAGTCACAAAAATAAATAATATAACATAAAAATAAAAATAAAGTCAAAATATTTAATTCGCGACGTTTATGTTTTACGTTGCGGAATGTAAATTTTAGTCACTGAAGTAAAATAAAATATTAATATTAATTAGTGACGTTGTTTATTATTTTGTCGGGAATAATTGTTTTAGCGACATTTTTATAAATTTGTCGAATAATATAAATTTATTTTTTATATTAAATAATATTATTATTTCGCTATGTTTTTATATTCGTTGCAAATTATAATTTATTTTTGTAATTTTAAACTAGAATTAAATATTAATTGCATCATTTTTTATTTTGTCGCAAAAAGGGTACTATCCGCGACGATTTCATAAATTTGTCGCAATTTTTTTTTTGGCAATTTGTCGAAAAGCTGATTCCCTCCCAATTTTTTTTGGCAGGAGAAAATGGTGGGAATTGATATTTTTACGACAAAAATTTTTTGTCGCTAATTTTTTTAATTTGTCCCAAAAATAAATAATAAAATAAAAGGGTACAACGTTTTTATTTTCGTCGCAGAATATAAATTACAATCACATTTAAATTTAAAATAAAATAAAAATATTAAACTGCTACGTTTTATTATTAACGTCACAAAAATATTTTCAAAATTTATGGTGACAGTTTTATTTTTGTCGCAGAATATAAATTATAACCATATTTAAAGTTAACATAAAATAAAGTCGTATAATAGATGACA